GATCGCTTTGTTCTACTTGGTCCACTATTTCCAACCGCTTGCGCTCACTCCTTGCGAACCCGCACACGTTCCACGACCCGACTCTCAGCTTGCGCTTTTCCCTATTGGAGATTTTGCGCACACCATCGTTCGCCTTCCGCTTCTTCTCGGACTTCTTCTGACTTGCTTGTTCGACTGCCCTGCTCGGTCCTTTCTTCGCCTCCGTCGCCCTCGCCTCTTGTCTCCTTACCTCCTCTGTTTCTATCATGTTCGCGATGCAAACGCTCCATCCAAACTTCCTCACGTAGTTCGACAGCTTCTCGATATCAACCCCCAAGCACTCTTGGCTGTCTCCCTTGGTCAGTTTCACCCGGAAGTATTCATGTTCTCTGCCTACTTGAGGCAGTGCAGTCCCTCCCTGTCACAACAGTTCTTGCACTCTATCCTTGTCATGTCCCTTGGAATCCCAAACAGTAGCAGCTCCAACTTGTCTCCCTTCCACTGTTTCTGCCTCCATCGTCCCGGCTTGTTCACCATCCTCATGATCTCTACGGCAACTGGACCGTGGCCACTTGTTTTTCGTGTTTTTTCAGGAAGGTACACGGAATACTCGGCGTTCCCAATCCGAGTGTCCGGAGGGGAGGGCGGGTGTACTCAGTCGTGCATGCCGTAGTCGTTAGAAAGACCACTTGACACTGTAGGTACGGGCGGAGGTTTTCCTTTGCGAACATGAAAATATTTTTTGCCTGGCGGCTCGGGTATTATATATTAACATCTATCTGTCTCCTGGGTGGGTGGGTGTCGTACAGGCCTCCAAAGTAAAAACTCTGGTAGGATTTGCCAGCAGTGTACGACGGACAGATGCGCCATCGATCATTCATTGTGCCTACAATTCTCGCATCTATGGCGTGGTTTCGAGCTTCCAAACCCAACCAATAAAAGTTGGACCCATTCGTGTATGGTGAGACGTTTGTTAATTTTCACTCATCCCAAATGTCACGTATTTATTGTAATGTGCATGAGAGCCGAGAGAGCCAGAGAGTAGATAATGTAGTTCGATATCGAACACGAAGAAACACCCCGCCCTTTGATCTGAATTCCCCCCCCCCCCTCGACAATTCTGAGCCACGCCAAGTGCGAAGCTGCGTGTGAAAAGAATGAGATCACTGTGCTAATCGCATATTGTACCTATGAAGCAAGTCTTGCCAAAGACAACAAAAAACGACAACGACCAAAACGAAAAAAGAAGGTACAAAACAAGACCTCAACGACTGACCGAAAAATGAAGGAAAGAACAAATCGCCTGCGGTTCTTCACCCACCAACTCACGCACCGCCCGCCGACGAAAGATACTGCAAAACGAAACAGAGGAAAAAAAAAAGAAATGGGGCACTCTTTCTTCGCGGACAAGAGAGACGAGCGCCGAACTTGGTTGGCCAAACTGGCAACTCAAACACCAGTCCCAATAGAAGAACCGAGCAATTACCAAATGCATGTTGACAGATCCCGACAGCCATGCCTACCGTACCTTGAGCTGGAGCCGCGCTCCTTCAAGGGATGGACAACCCTTCTGTTGGCATTCGATTCGCGCCAACAAGAGCATTATCCGCTGAACAAAAGGAATTTAAGGGCTATCCTACGCTGATTTTCAAATGCCTGCAACAGGAAACAGCGATTCCTTGCGGTTGCCAGCAAGGTATCCACATCTGGTTTGCTTTTCCCTGCATCCGCTCCGTTCCTCCTTGAAGCTATTTTGGATTGTTTTATCCACACACGCATGCCACCACAGCTACCTCTCTAAAATTCCCCGTCACTCTATACTTGTCTCTTAAACCTCTTGGCGCACGTCAAATCAAACCACAAGCTGCCGCAACAGCACAGGGCCAACTCGCTCGTTCGCATTGATGCCTGCAACCCATTCCCTTGACGTATATACCGCCCGCACTACTACAAGGGCTAAGATAACTCAGTTCCGTTTCTCAAGAAGAGAAAAGCTGACGACATGTACCTACCAAACTTTACACGCGTGGGGACAAAAAAAACAACACGCCCACGCCGCCGTCGCCACACGGATGATTTCTAGCCTGTTGCCGGAACAACAACCGGTTCCGCTTATCACAACCGAAACCCTCTTCCTCGACGGGGCACCTACGTATGTTTCCCTTTCGTTGCCCGCCGACAAGCCCACGGGAGGCTTGTTCAGCGGCCAAGGGTCTCGAGGCCTACTGCCATGTGTGCACCATGTGTGCACGACAAGAGAGAGGAGGGAGAAACTATAACAACTAACTAGTTCAACACACGACCCCGGGATCGACAAATCCAAATCCTCGGTTGTCATCCGCATTTTTTTTTTCCTGCCTTAACTACGAATATTGCAGACAGACAGACAGACAGACAGGCAGGCAACGAACGAATGAAATGCACGAAACACAAAAAAGTGCCATGCACACCAGAAACGCTTCCCGTGATCAGAACGATACCACACGACTCCCCCCCCCCAACGCCACCGCCGATGCCACACCGTAACCACGCTCAACAAATCAATCGCCCCGCTCACCGCCATCTTTGTCTTGTGTGATAACATGAGCTAGCTACCGCTGCATCCCCGTCCACGGGTTGTTGGTTGTGCAGACCAAGAAGACGGCTTGTTTCCAATCCGGCGCCCTCAACAAGGCTGGCCTGCGGGCCGCTCTCGCAACTCAACTCTTTCGCTATAATTACTCAAACAATTACCACAATTCCTTTAAACTGTTATACTACAGCTTAGTGGTGGAAGGCCGTGGTAGCGAACAATCCTGCCGCTGCCGCTGCCGCTGCTGCTGGCACGTAGCACGGGCTCCCACTCAAACCACACTCAACACACAAAAACGACACTCGTCGATAGTCAAAAGCGTCGCTTGCCTCTCTCCCTCGCTCCCTCTGCCTTAAAATAGTTTTGCTTCCCGCCTACACGAACTAACCCCTACATTTTTATTTTTACTTCCCCGGCTACTGCTGCACGTATGTGCTGCTACACCACAGTGAGACCCGGTGCACATTTGTGCCCCCTCTACTGCTGTTGCTTCGCCTTGTCTTCTGCTGCGTTTCCGCTGTCACGGCTTGTGCCTCCGTCTGCTTCCGACAGCATGTCCTCCCCCACCCACCCTCCCGCCACCGGCCCGCTAAACACTTCGTTGCAAGTCCACATTGCCAACCTTCTCGTGAAGCGGTCTTCCATCTATCCACACCGCCAATGAACCAGCCCAGTCGCGTCTTGTTGCCGGCTCCCTTGCAACCAGCCACCACCAGTGCTGCTACCGCTGTTGTGACGATCCTTTTTCTACCCACAAGTCAGTCCAGCGGGACCGTTGTTGTTGCCAAACGAAACCAATCAGACTCGGGATATAGTATTGTCATGCCCTTCCCCTGGCGGCACAACCACACCCTTGCTCCCTCCCCACCCCAGATTCCCTGCCGCGGCACCCCTCCTCGCCCGCCAACCAAGGCACAAAAAAAATAAAAATGGGAACTCAAGAAGAACCCAACAACAAGAGCACGAGAGCGGATATCGCTCGAGATGCCCCCCTTTCCGGCACCCCACCCCCATTTAGTATAGACCTTTTGAGTGCTTTCCTCGCCAAGACAACATTTCCAAGGGCGGCGTACATTTCCTGCCCCCATCCCCCACTCCGCCCGCCCCCAACTTTCATCATCCAACTACGGAGGCTCAACCTTGGAACGCCTCTTCTCGCAACAACAGCAACAACGGCTCATTTTTATGTCCATCCCCTTACCGAAACTCCTCCTTCTCTCGCCCAAAAACCGTGTGGTGCACAAACTCACCCCTCTTTTCCGGAACGTGTGTAACGGCCTTCTGTACCTGTCACACCATGCTCCGCCCACTGCTGTACTACATCGACAACCAGTAAAAAATTGCGACGGACCAACCGGAAACAAAAAACCGTCCCAGCAACGTCACCGAAGGGGGGCGCACCAACGGTGAAATGGTACATGCGCCAAATCCAAGCCTCCTGCATGCATGCGGTAGGCTAGCGTGTGTCTCCCCCCCGGGGGGGGGAAGAGAACAAATAATAAACCAAAGAAATATATATCAAAATGTATCCAACATAACAAAAAACATCAAACATGGAGCTCCATTTCCGCAACATACAGGAGCAGAGCAGAGAGGTGCCGACCCCCCCCCCCTCCATCGAGTCGAACTCGGTACAGACGTGTGTTTGAGAAAAACCGTAGCAGAAAAATAGCCAACAACAGGATTCTAGTAAGATACTTTTAACACGTACGAGGTTGTGTGCTGGCAAAACAATTCCAACAAGCAGCCCTCCCAAAGAGACTTACTTGGGATGGCGACGGTTTCTTACGGTACGGTAAAACTCGCTACAGTACCCATGTAGTGTGGACGCACGAGTGAACACCACTTTCCAAAAAAAAAACAAGACGAGAAGAACAAATCACGGCCGACCATTATAGGGTGCAAGGGGGGGGGGGGGGGTTACGTACCCTCCCCCCCCCCGCACGCGTGCTAAGCAAACAAACTACCATTCGCGAGAACCTCTCTTTCCATCTTTCAGAGCACGATCGGGAAAAGGCCCAACCAACAAATGGTTGCGCTTTTCGCCTTACATGCGTTTTCTCCGCGTGACCCTGCCCTAATCTTAACCTCGCGTCGTCTGCATTACCCACGGACGCAATCTATACTCTTCGCTGCACCCGCTAAGAAACCCTCACACGCAAAAAAAAAGCGACAAGGGGTGAGAAAAAAATTAGGAAAAAACAAAGGGCACAATTTCACTCCGACCCCTCTTTCTCTTGCTAGTCCGTACACGATGTGCGACGATCTCTCCCTTGCCCCTGAGACAAACAAGTCATCCACCCCACAAACTCGCTCTACATCCTGCTGGGGGCATTGCCTATACTTGCACACGCGCGCTGAGGGCGCCATCTGTACTCTCACAAGTAATGAAAACACATAAGCATGAGACCAAAAAAACACCATCAGAAAAAAACATGCGCAACAGCAAAGCTTGACAAAACCACACACGGTGGCCAAGCTTGCGTTGCTCGATACTACACGGCCGATGCCATGTTGTGGCTTACGATCGCTCTTGTTGGAGGTAAAATAACGACAGGGAAAAAGAAATATGTCAAGGTGGGTAAAACCCTTGGCCCCTTCATCTTCCCCCGTAGGCTTTTTGCCGCACTCCTCAAGTGACTTCAAGTGACTCGAACAGAAAAATAAAACTGCAACAACCGCAGCGCAAAGGCCGTTGTTCAACAACGGCGAAGCGTACGCCCTCCTCCCTCGCCCCTCCTCGCCTGCGTGATACTTCATGGCACCTTTGGAAAACGGTGTCGGGAGGCACACACGTCCTGCGACCTAATCAATCCAATCCAATCTACTCCACCAATCATGATCCGACGAAAGACCCGGAGAGCAGAAAAAAAGGTACTCGCCCACAAGTGAAAAAACAAAAAAAAGAGAAAAAAAGATGACACAAACAAAAAATCGGACAGATTCAAGTCCTACACCATAAAAAGAAACAGCTACTACCAGAGAGGCCCGCAGATACCCAAAAAGACAAGCGCGTACAAATCGAACCAGATTCTTCTTCTCTTCTTGGCACGAGTCGCCTTCCATCATCTCCGAACATCGTACGTACACCACATGGTAAAAACAACACCATCCGTCTCTCGCCCCCGCGCACAGCAGCAGCAGCAGCACCACCAGCCAAGGCGGTTGCTAAAAATTCGGGCATGGTTCTCGAACTTCTGTCGACAGCATCACCATCAGTTCCTGCTGCCGGTGGCCTTGTCGTTCACGCCCGTGGCGGCGACAGCGGCTATTATGCCCGCCGAACTCGCAGCAGGCGGCAACGCCGCTGAACTCGCGGCTGAGACGGAGACCCTCTTCATGGCCTTGCCTGCCACGCCGCTGGCTTCCAGCCTGCGCCGGGTCGCGGGAGCGCCGAACCCGGAGCCGCTCTCGCAGTGACCCAGCGCCTCTGCCGACCTCTTCCTGATGTTGCACGACATGAGCGAGGACCCGGCCGCCACCGCCCCGTTCATGTCGCTGCCGGCATCAACAGCGGTAGCACGGGGAGAAGCGGCAGTGGATGCCGAGGTAACAGCAGCCATGGCAGCAGCCGTCGCCGTCGCCGTCGCCGCCGCACGCGTGTGCTTGGTTGCCCTCGAGAAAGCGACGTCATCGCCGGAATAGGCGAACGATGAAGACGAGCCGCGCATCTCGGCGCAAGCGGGCGTGTGGTCCTGGTGCTGTGGCTGACCTGCCGCGCTGTTGTTCGCTGCCCCGGCCGCTGCAGTGATGATCGGGGTGGGCCGGCGGTGGCGGCCTTGCGGCAGCTGGTGCTCCTGTTTAACGTGAACAGACCCCCCCGGCCCGAGCCCCTCGCCGCCCACGGGAGCGCTACTACCACCACCACCACCACCACCACCAGCCAATGCGCCGTCGCCGCTGCCACGCGGCTTGTGCTCGGACGGTTGGTGCTGTTGCTGCTGCAGGCCGGCCTCGCCCCCGCGAAGGGTATCCATCTCGATGTGCACGATGCCCTCGACGCCGGTCGGGGTGGCGCAGCGACGGCCCTTGACGGCCACGACCGGCGGAGTCGCCGCCTGCGCCGCCCGCTTCCTCCCCGCCGGCTCCCGCCGGGGGGGCACGTTGCTGGTACCGCTCGGGACAGGGAAGCCCGCGTACCGCGCCACGCCCTCCGCCGCCGACCTCGCCGCAGAAGCAACGGCCGGGTATCTCTCGGCGAGCGAAGAGCCCAGGAGCAAGACACACTCCAGTACGCGCCGGAGCGAAGCGACACCGGTTCCGCCGCATCCATCGATGGCGGCGCCGTCGCTGGCGGCGTCCGCCTCGGCGGGGCCCTTCCAGCACACGTCCAGCACCTCGGCGTGCGAGGTGGGCGGTACGGAGGCTGCGGCGGTGGCGGCGGCTCCACCGCCCCCGCCGCGGGAGGCGGAGAGGAGGAGGGCGGCCGTGGCCAGGGTTGACGGCAGGAAGTTCACGAAGCGAACGTCTGGTGTTGAAGGCCGGGAAGAGAGACGGAGCAAGAAAACCTCAAAAAAGAACGATTGAGGATACGTGCAAGGTATATATGACCAAGATGGGATGCAAAGACATACAAAGATGCTTTCGTTCGGAAGCCCGACACAACACCGTGGGAGTCAGCGAAGGACGGCCAACAGGAAGGAGAATAGACCTCCAGTTAGAAATACACGCACCGAATGAGGCGAGGTCTGCGATATCCTCCGCCCAGACGCCCAGGCGCTCGAGCTCCTCCTTCTTCTCCTCCCTGGCCTGCAGCGAAACGCTGACGCTAGCGCCGCCGACCCCGGAGGTGGACGCGGCGGCGGCGTGAGACGAGCCCTCCCCCTGCACGAGGAGAGCGCAGAACGCTCGCACGAAGTCGTACACGGTCACCGGTCGCAGGTCCCAGTTTAGAACCTGTTTGTGTTGCGTTGCGGGTTAGGGGGGGACGGGGGGAGCGGGTTGATACATGGGTGGGGCCCTTCGTCCCAGTTCCGAACCTAGCGTGTTTCGTTGTTGTATCCTGGAATTAATGGGGGGGTTCGAAACAGCAGCAAGGCGTAATACTTAATATACCTCGAACGCGGGTGGGCGACGATCTGCATCTATGGCACCATTCGCACACGTCTAGACCCACCTTCAGCAACGACATCTCCATGACAAGCAGCTGCTCGGGCGTGAACACCGGCGTGTACTTGAGGAGTTGGCGCTGCCGATAGCGGTGTGGGGCATAAGGGTGGGGTGGAGGATAGGACGGAGGGGCATGGTGAGGATGCAGCCACCAGCTCTACCTATCGGCCGAGTTTCCGTGCAGGTATCTCACGTGATACTGAATCTACCCCACGCCCCCCACTTCTTGCCGGCCTCTACCATGCTAGTACACATTGCATACAACGGAGTATTGTTCTTTCCCATGCTTCCTGTTTCCCCCCCGGTGTTTACCATCGGGGTTGGGTTTTCGTCGCTTGGCAACGACGTTGTAAAACAAGCCAACTAACTTCGTGAGCTCGGCAACCAGGTTGCCGGTTTTTTTTTTACCTCTGGTTTTCCTTTGGCGGTACCATAATGATGGTCGAGTAGATCATGTTGTGCCGGGTGGAGAACCCTCACTCCGCGCAAGGGGGATGATCGCACCACGTTGTGTTAAAATGGTCGAGCACCCTCGAAGCAGTTACACAAGCAGTGCTTGTAATTGTCTTTAAGAAAGCACCAGAAAGTAAATTAAGTCATACGCAGCTGTCATCCGTACGCAAGGAAGTAAGCACAAGATGCCGAACACCCATAGCAGGATACTGCGCACCCTTCATGCGACTCGCCGAATATCTCACGGCGCTTCGCGCTTGGTGATGTGAGAGCCTGGTCCGGTGAGAACCCGGCGTGCTCCGTCCCGGCTTGGTAGGGATGCGAGGTCAATGGCCTAACGACTACGGCATGCACGACTATGAGTACACCCCCCCCCATGCTGCCTGTTTCTACTCCGACGCATGCACGTGTTTACGTGTGTCCAGTGGCGCTACGGTTAGGGTTTTTACCCTAGCGTTAGATAAGGTTAGGCTTGTAGTAGGCCTCTCACCAAGGATGCGGGCTTGGTCTCCTCGAACTTAGCCGCGGTGTGCAGGGCCGTCGCCGCCACCGCCTGAGCCAGCGTGGGGCTGCAGCGCTTCTCGCACGTGTACCGGTCGAAGTAGTTCAGGGCCACCGCTACCGTGTCCCGGTTGTACCCCAAGAACGTCGCCATTTGGTTCTGGATACAGGAGACAGGAAGAGGTACAGCCAGGGGGCGAGCGGGGATACTCATGTCAATTGCGTGCCGCAGTACATGGGGACACCGTAGAGTCGCATCCCTAGTACCCACGCCGGGACCGAGAAATTGCGGGGCGGATCGGGGGGATAGTTCTAATAAGGAACACTACAAGTTCACACACTCATCGCTCCCACTGACAACAAGGTTTAAGACGTCTACTGCTGTAATTCCTTTCTTACATTCCGTGCCTTTCGTATTGGTTCTTTTCCTCTCTGTGTCGTGAATCGACCGCTAATATTGTATCTGTTGAGTGTTCTATGCATCCACAAATCCAATTGCAAAACACCGTTCCATTTCTCCAGCGAATCAACGTTTATTGTCGCGGGTCGCGGGTGGCAGGCGGTCAACCGCTCATTCGAAAATGCCGAGCGCATCCCGCACGCGCTCATGGAAGCTCTTATCAACGAACGACCAGCTTGTACGTACGCGATCGAGGCGACGCATCTGCACTGCCACGGCAAATGCACTATTGATAGACATGAGAGAAAACAAGACGATGACAGGCACGACCTCCAGGGAAAAGAAGCCAGACCATGATTGGCACGAGACTGCGCATGGTCATGAAGCAACCCGACAGGGCGGATCACAATATTCTACTGCTGGTAGAACCCCATTTTTTTTGTTTTCACAGCCACATCATTCTCCGCTTTCCCCGCCGGCCACCTGTCACCCACACATTTTTTACTTGTAATATGTAACCAAGTTTATCACGGGTCAACGTACAATATCTCAAGGGTTATGCATGACACCGCAAGGAAACGCGGTCTTGCCTCTTGCCTCCAAGAAACAATGCACGCGACAACAGAATACCTACGCAGACGTTCGTGCTTGGAACCAGCTGGGTTGTTGTTGTTGTTGTTGTCTTCACATTAAAAACCATCCCGGTCTCTCTATCCAGTACCTCTTTCTGTCTCAATCTCTCCGTACTAATCCATCTGGGTAGTTCCCCGGAATTATTTATCAGTTTTCAGGTCAAAAGCAGACTCTAGAAAGCCCAGTCCCCAGCAGCCGGTTCCCCTACACTCACTGAAAGGACTCTCAAGACTTCAACGCATCCCTTCGACTGCTGAGGTCAGTCATATGATACGATGTATCCCGAACGAACGCATGTATTCTTCCTGAAAACTCTCAAGAAAAAAGCAGCAGGCTTGTGGAGCCTAACGCAAGTTGAAATCGGTAAAAAATAACCAATCTCCCGGGCTTCGATGGCGCGTGGCGCCCGAAACTTTGCCTTTTTCTGCCGTGGCCTGGAACCGCGAAGTATCGTATGCATAAATGTATACCGGTGAACGCATTTAAAAGTGCAACAAGCTGTTCCCTGCTATGCATCTCCAGTATGGTTGATGTTTGGGAGCAGATGGCGCCTGGTGATCAATGCATAAACGCCGAGTCGCACCGCCGCAATGCTTGGTCTACGTGTAGGCACGACATGTCTGCGTGCTATAAATACGCAGTGACATTGACTGTGTAACGATTTTCGAAAAGAACAAAAGACGAAAAGTGCCATGTGTATTTTAATCGCAGGTAACGAATTTTGACAGCCCGTTGTAGTGAGTGGCTCGACAAGACAAGACGAACATGATCGTTGTCTGGCATGAGGGGGTACACAGACTAGGACTTCGGCCCTGTTGTTTCTGTTGATGCTGCCACTCAGACAACACCGTCGCATGAACAAGACAAATGAAAAAATCATCAAAGGCGGAGACTTCAACACACATAACATATGCAAATACATAGACTACATAGACGAATAAATTACCGTGTGGGCATCTATCTCTCTCCACACAGCAGCGGAGGGCAAAGCGAACATAATGCCCCCCACAGAAGCATCATGACCTGTATTATGCTACTGCTGTTATCAGTTAGGCAAAATCTCCTGGAAATCTCTGCCTTCAGGGACGACCCACAAAGGCAGGCTGGTCAGGGCTGCAGCAATATCTTCACATCTAGCCGTGATCTTTTGACACGTGTCGACCCGCGGCAACGACAATCTACAAAGATACGCCGAGAGGCTGGGTAATGAAGTACATACATAAAAGAACACGAGCGACAACATGTGCTATATGGGCCGAAGCAAAAGAGTACTGGAGGGCGGCCACTGGCTCAGGGTATCACCCGTTCAGTGGGAAGAGATGGCCGGCCTATTTAGAGCCGCACCTCTCCCGCGATTGTCAGTTCATTGACCGCGCGGAATATATACCGTCATCATCAAAGAGCTCGACTTCTGAACCCGTTGGATACGATCACAATGATGATGATGCACATCGCCTCCGCTCTCGCACGCCAGAATCACGAGTCTCCCGACACACAGGAAGCCGGAAACAAGACAAAAACTGCTGCTGTGAACGGGGTTGGAGACCACTTGTCCAAGAGGTTACGAACCCGAACCCGTGTTTTTTTGCAATTTTCGAGTTTTGAAGAGGGAACACGCGTGTGGTCTCCAAACAGGGCACACGGGGATCGCGCAGCAGGTATTTGGCGCCAAAGACCAAGCACACAGGGGACAGACTTTTTGCGTATTCCTGCTCTGGCGTGCCGTACGCGCCGATCTCGTTATTTAGATCTTCAAGGGGAGACTGCAACAACAGCAACAGCAGCATGCAGTACGTCCGAGGGCGACAACCTGGCACAGCAGCTGGGCTTTGCCGCTGAGCTGCCGGTTCTTTCGGCACATGCATATTTAGATCAGTTGAATCTCGATTGAGCGTTTGATTGATCGTTAGAGAATATTGCCCCGTGCTGTTGTTAGGGAACGATCCTGGGCATAAATATTAGGTCAATGATCGCGGGGAAAGGGCAGCCGCAGCAGCAGCAGAGATCAGATCCTCCCTTTCGCAACAAACTTCTCATCCACTAGCATCCATCGATATCCAGTGCGGACTGATCGTCCATTGGCTACAATAGCGGAGAGGGGGAAAGAGAGAGAGAGGGAGAGGGAGCCATGTCGCTCGTCAGGGCAGCAGAAGAAAAACTGATGCTGCAGAAACGACAGAGCAAGAAATTGTTTCTCGAAACGAACTACAGAGAGACGCACACGCCCGCGCGCACCGCGCAGCAGCAGCAGCTACTGCAGCAGGGACGGTGGAGGTGCTCTCCAGCCGACAGGGATCGGAGGAGTTGCCTGTGCACCATGCTCCCGTCTTCATGCTCAATTGTGCCCAACAACGAGCGTGGGGTGTGTGGGGCCCTCCAAGCTCTCTCCATACAATATGTGTCCGCAGTAGTCATGAATATTGTTGTGAGGGTCGAGATCGACTGGTGCGCACCGGTTGCACCTAATATTTTCAAACAACGCGTGACACACAGACTATCCAGTAGATGTTGGAACAACATTATCATCAGGGGATCCGAACGTTGCAGCAGCTCTGCTGCCGCTGTGCTGTGCAACAAACGCCTCGCCGCTGCGTGTACACGTTCTGCTTCGGTTTGCCGAAGAACCTTTCGTTCAAAGCATCACCCATTGTGTTGTTAGCGTTAGGAGGTCGAGGTCCGCGTCTTTGCGCGCGTGTGTGCGTGGCCCACCCTGGCGCCGTTTTGTTGGAATTCACCGCAGGGTCTTTTCTCGCCTTTTTGCCCGGTTTTCTCAAAGCAAGCAGCGCGCAGAGGGTTGCACAACGATAAAAAAACTGAAAAAAGAAAAAAACGCATGCATATTTTATGCGTACCGCGCGGGACGGCAACCAGATGAAACAATGGCGGACGCCACGGAGTGACGGGGTTCAACAACGAGCCCTGACGACTACTCTCTCTAGAAAACGCTCTGCTCAATTGAGCAACGCCGAGCGCGGTGGCCGGCTCGCGAGTAGCGAAGGGAAATGTCAGTTCAAAGACTCACACAGATCATTCCCCAAACTTTCGAACTTACGTTGAATTTTCGAAATAAGACTACAACAATGACGAACTGTTCATGTATGTGTGCAACAACAGCGGAAGCAGAGAAAGCACATGTCAACGACAGGTTTAGATCAACTACTTGCTGGGTGTGATTTGGGTGTGTAGGTCGTGGAGTTTTTATTACCCGCTTGCTGTTAAAACTTGAGTGGGGGCGGGATCCTATGACGGCAGCAACGCGTTGCTCGGCGAACAACGTGTTGTGCTTGGGAGCTCTTTTATGATGCCCGACCTCATCATAAGGACAAAAAAAATCGAGAGGGCGGGTTCAAGGAACAGAGGGCCAAGAGAGAATCCGTTCCGCTGCCGGGACGATGTTGCGCGACACCAAAACAAAAATCCACAAACAAATAGGCAGTGCAATGCCCGTCTCTCTCACCTCCCACGCCACGAACTGACCCCTCCGCTTGCCCACGAACGGCGATACGACGTGGCAACGCGCCCGGGCTCCCGCCCGTCCGTTCACTCCGGCGGGAAGGAACTTGTGCTGCGCCTGAATCATCTTGAGGAGGCCGTCCTTCCGCTCCTCAATGGGCGGACCAGGCTCGCTGACGATGAACAAGCGACCAGCAGCAGAGGGTGATGAGGATGATGATGACGGTGATGGTATGGCAGGGCCGGGTCGAGATCGCCGACGTTGCGCTCGCTCGGACGGCGTAGGAAGCCTGGCTACGCCTGCTGCGGCGGCTGCGGCGCCTGGCTGGCGCTGATGCAGCTGATGCTGCTCACGGGGCAACATACATGTTGCTGCCGCAGCTGCGCCTCCTGGTGCTGCTGCTGCTGCTGCTGACCCCGTATTGGAGGGGCTGTCCTTATCCCAGCCGTCTTCCATGCAGCAAAGATCAGCGTCTAGAGTGGGTGGCAAGGGGCGATCCTCCCCCAGAGGTTGGAAAGCCATGCGCGCTACCCGGCGTGTGCGCGTGCGAGAGCAAGAGGGCAGTTCGCACAGCAGGCACGCACACGTTGCCCTGATTGAAATGAGCAACCGCTCGTGGGGTAGTGCGCTATTGCTGCTGAAAGGAAAGATCCAGCGAGCGTGTTGGTGTTTTTTTATTTTATTTCCACTCTTTAGATGGAGGGGGGGTGACATACCATGTGGCGTGCCCCTTTTGTTGCCCTCCCTTTTCATCAGACAGGCAGGTCATCCATGGAACAATATTATTGCTGTATGCGTGTCACGGATGAGAGACGGCGGAACTCAGCAACTCAGTAGCTCAGCAGTCGCAGCGCTCTGGGTTGCCCAAGCAAGCTCATCCCCTCTCTGGTCAATGTGATGTGTTCTGCTCGTGAATCTAAATGTATCTATCTGTATATATATATCTTGCTTGCGGGTGTCACCGCTGGGCACACAACGTTACCCTTTGATTTTTTTTTAGGCGGGTGTGGGAAGCGTCCTGCTTTTGTTTCTGTTTTTGTTTAATTTTGATCGGTTTCCGAGGGCTCGTTCCTCGAACGGTCGGTGCGGTACCTGTTATTTCCTTCTTGCATGTTATCATTTTGTTTTCTTTTTCAGAGTGGTTTGTACCCTGTTTTTGTTTGGTTTCCCCGCGGCGTCGTATGTGCCCGGTTTTGAGACCACGGGCTCCCCAACATTTGTGGACTGTTAGACTATCTATAGAGCTAATAATGTGAGAAACAACAGCAACAACAACAACCAAATCTCTTCGTCACTCCTGTCTGCTGTGTATGCATACATTTACATTTACACATATGCATACCTGCCCTGTTCGCTCCGACCGTTGCCGCCGTGTGTGTTGCCTCGCATACATATGAATGAAGCAGTACACCTGTCAGGTTGGTGGAGGTCGAACCCCCTTGGGAACGCTCCTGCAAGGGGTGGGGGGGGTCATCGGCAAGGTCGAGCCCCTGAAAAGTGCGTTCGGTTGTCCAACCTCTGTCCAGAACCAACCTCGGCAACCCCTGACAGAAAAAAAGGTTCGGCAAACATATTTATTCCCTGCGATGTGTTTGTCAGGCTTAGACTATTTAGTCGTCAGGGGGGCATTGCCAGGCTCGTTCGCAAATGTGTGATTGGCAAGGAAAGTTCGCGAAAGTGGGATTGCCAAGCTCGTTCGCGAACGTGGGATTGGCAAGACTCGTTCACGAATGAGGGGTCGGCAAGCTCGTTCGCGAAAGTGGAGTTGATAGGCCCGTTCGAGTTCGTAGGGTTGGCAAGGGCATTTGCGAGGGTGGGGTTGGCAGGCTCCTTCGCGAACGTGGGGTTGGCAAGATCGTTTGCGAGCGTTGGGATTGACAGGCCCGTTCGCGAACGTGGGGTTGCTATGTAAGGTGCTATTATTGATTGTTTCTTTTTTTACTGGCAGGGCCGTCGATTGTGCAAGTTAGGCAGGCTCGTTCGCTGTGAAGGCGGCACGCCTGCATCAGACTTGAAGTATGACATGGTGTGGCTGAATAATATCATCCTACTACAGTAACTGTAGTTCCTCGGGTATCGCCTTGCCTAGCGAAAGCCACACTACTATCTACAGACACCGGTCATCAATGTGCGTAGACAACTGCAGTACTTCAAGACAATTAAGAGGCGCTCTTTTCACTTCACTCACACAGCTACTCCAACAACCACCCATTTATATTTCCACAACGTTCGGAGGGAGACTTACAACTTTAAATCGACATTTCATTTTGTAGAGGTGCACCTTCTTCACCAAGTACTACGTCAATGAACTCTTGAGGCCTGTAAGTAAGTCTGTATTCGCGGGTTGGTACTATAGACTACATAAGTTGATCAGCAAATTGGGAACTACTGGCATTCATTTGCCCAGTAATATCCTATTATTTTAACCTTATTCAAAATAATTTTACAGATCTAAGTAAATAAACCCTTTCCGTAAAGAAAACAAACATCCGACCCCATAATTTATTAAATCGAATTATTATCGATGTATCGCCTATCTATCTCTTTTGCCGCCGGGTTAGTTTGCTGCACTACTTTTTGTTTCGAATAATGATCTCAAGTGCTATGTATTGAAATTGTCTCCTGATCGATGCCCTCTTTCATATTATGTCGAAATCTAAAGAAATATTGCATGTGGGGCTACTGATTCATCGTAATTTCTATTGCTGTATGCATCTATCTATAAATGGATCTAGGAAAAATTGACTCACCTTTCGTGATAACTTTTTTGCAAAAGGTTCTAACTTATTATGAGCCATCCCCTACAAGTCTGAGATGGCACGCTTTACCATCAAGTCCGAAAGAAAAGCAAGTGGTAAGCGAAAAATTATTTATATTTATTTTTGCCTTCCGACAATTATTGTTGCCTACCTAATTCATTTGTAAACTTGTAAATAATTATTGGTGGTGTATACAATAATGACAGAGGAGGCCACAATACTGACAGAAGAAGCCACAACACTGACACAAGAGGCCACAATTCTGACAGAGGAGGCCACAATACTGACACAGAATTCTGAAAATCCATTGGAAACAGCAGTGATTTGTCCACAATACAGATGGCCACAATACTGACATGAACAAGTCTTTGAGAAAATTTCCAAACAAAGCTGAAAAAAAAGGGATGTTTTCCAAACTAAAAACTAAACAAGATAGAACAACATATTGGTGAAATTGAGAGCGAAACATGAAATTGAGAGACAAAAAAAATAAAATTCGGGTCCAGACGCCTCTTGCCATTTCTTGGGAAGTAGGGGACGAGCTCTTCCAAGAAGCGGCGCAAATTGAAGGTCTCATCAGCAGCGTCACGAGTATATGCGTGTCATTGTCATCGGATGCTGCAGCTAGGAGCAAGACAAGTTGCTAGATTTCCCCAGATTGGCTATTCCTGCCTCAAACTGTTGCAGGGCGGTATGGCCTCGGGCGGTGGGCTCTGCTGCTGCAGCTCCTGCTCGCCGCTGTAACTCCACATCGAGAGACTCCCACAGGATGACCAGGGTATCTGCTTGTAGCTACGGGCTGGCCCTTCAAATCAAGCTACACAACAAGCTCCACCTCTCAGGAGTAGTCTAGCTGCAGCGCATCGCGCAATCTCGCTCTCAATCAGATGCTTCGCTCTCAATTTCACCAATATGTTGTTATATGTTGATCACTTTTGGGAATATTATTATATTTTGTTTGCCTTCCGACAATTAATTGCAAATGTACCTCATAAACTTTCACTTAATGTCTTATACTCTACATGAATATTAAACCAATACNCTTGTGTCTAAAGTAGACCGCGGTAACCTCTACAGCAGCTCCCCGTTTCGTCTCACAGGAGCAGCTGCAGTGTGCCCTCTTCCTGTAGCTTGCTACTTCTGCGAACAAGTGTACTCCACCACGTCACCACATCTCTCTTCTGGTACCCTTTCCTCCTCAGAAACTTCCCCGCTAATTCTTGTTTACTTGCCACTGTACGATTCAGTCCCGCGCCACAAACCCCAGATTTCCTTCGTTCAATCTTACACACTTTCAGAAAAATTGGAAATTTTGAAACTCCAAATCTTAAACAAGAGAATATGTCAATATGATTGTTGATGGTTTATAAACACCAGGGTTGTTGGGTTGTTGTCACATGTATGACTATAGTTGAAGAAAAAAATATGGAGATGAACAAGGTATGTTTGATCATTTCCACCACTGACTGGTTTTTTATATGAAGACAACAACAACAACCTTGATTTGATGCAAGGATGCTGCACGATGTGGTGTAAGGAGCAACTTATTTGACTTGTTTCCAGAGTACTATGGTAACATCGACTTTTCCACTAAGAATACCGTCATTTAGAAAAAGTAAGCATTTTATTTGTCCTGTAAGTAAAATATAAAGTTGATCCAAATCCAACTGTTTATTGATAATCAACAACGTATTCGCCTGATTGAGAGCGTAGCATCTGATTGAGAGCGAGATTGCGCGATACGTTGTAGCCGGACTACCACTGAGAGGTGGAGCTTGCTGTGTAGCTTGAATTGAAGGGCTAGCCCGTAGCTTCAATCCGCTACCCTGGTCATCCTGTGGGAGTCTCTCGTTGTGGAGCTACAGCGGGGAGCAGAAGCTACAGCAGAGCCCACCGCCCGACGCGATACCGCCCTGAAACAGTTTGAGCAGAAATAGCCAATCTGGGCAAATCTAGCAACTTGTCTAGCTCCTCGCTGCAGCATCCGATGACGATGACACGCATATGCTCGCGAAGCTGCTGATGAGACCTTCAATTTGCACCGCTTCTTGGAATAGCCCGTCCCCTACTTGCCAAGAAATGGCAAGAGGCGTCTGGACCCGAAATTTCAATTTTTTTGGCTCTCGCTCTCAATCAGATACTTCGCTCTCAATCAGGCGAATATGTTGTTAATCATATAATGATCTACTGAAACGAATTGAGAACAGTCCTTCTGGTGCAAAACGAACCCGAGAAGTATTCCAAAACGGGTTTCTGAAATCATTAGAGCCGCAATGGATTGTGATGTCTGATTATGATCCGAAAATGGTTGAATTTCTTGATAAATGGTATCGTAACAGAAAATGAAAGGTGATTGTATTATTTGACAACAAGGTGATCCTGATCATTGTAGTTCTTCAATTGTTTGAAGTTGGGTAGAATCAAAAGGTTTATCCATGTACAAAGCTCCTTCCAGTCTTAGAGAATGGGCGGATTATGACAACCAAGATATTGTCATATGGGACGACATGTGTGAAGATCGGCGGTGTCTCGATGGTCAGCGTATAACTCAACTCTTTGATGGACAAGTGGTCCATTTGGATAGGAAATACCAAAAAGGTTTCAACGGCCGATGTCCCAAATTAATCGTTACAATTAATACACTGACTTTTATTACGATACATCTCTTGCTAAATTTCAAGCAAGAACAATGTTATGTAGTAGTATTGAAAGGTCTCCATTAATCAATCCGGTTGATGTTAAGAAGTTCCCTGTCAAAAGTATTATGTACAATAGAGGAATGATCTATGATGGAGAGTTCGAACAAGAAGAAGATACTTCTGATTTAGGCGAAAGCTGAAAAGTTGATTCGGATGTTTTGGTGTCCAGGAAAAGTTGGCTGATTTTTTTTTGGTAAACATTTTAGGTTGACCTAAAAACTTTTTTGGGTTACTTTTGAAAATTTACAATTATCACACATTCATTTTTGTATTGTTTTGCCTTCCGACAATTGCAGATGTACCTCAGAAAACTTTCACTTAATGTCTCATACTCTACATGAATATTAAACCAATACGAAGTACAACAACATATGTAGGACTTATTTCTACTGTCACTTACATCGTAAAAACATCTCCTCTTCAATTTGAAATAAAACCAACGACAATCCTCATGGTATCCTACATGCGTTCGTAAGCTTGCTAAAATACTACTGCGTTGATGTCCTCTTGTAGAAGCTGAAATCCAACAAATGCTTTGATCCATGCTACATCTCCGTGTTGGAAAAGCCCTTTCTTCTCCGTTCATGATAACATCTTGCCCTATTCTACGCAAATCTGTCACATCTACTCTCAAACAAGACGCCACGCGTTCTACGATGCGTCTACACTCCATCCCCATATCGAGGTCGATCTTGTTCGCCTGTTTTCGGCGTCTTGACGCCCGCTCAATGCGAGCTTGTACCTCTGCACTCGCCGAGATATGGCCACCTGTGTAGCCACCGAAACGATCTGAAGAAGTCGTTCCTTGAAGACTCCTTTCAGAGCCATCGTTCCTCCGTCCCTTCCTCCCACGGCATGTGTCGCAAGTTCATCGATGAACTCGTAACCCTCCTCTCCAAGGCGGCCAAAGCTTTCCACGGCTAAGGTGGTAAGTTTAAAGCTGCGTTCGTCAAAGGACACGTGTCCCGGACGAGCGTAGTGCTGACGCTTTCGCGCCTCGGATGCTTGGGCTGCGATTCCATCGCTGGTCGCGCTGCCGTTCCGCAAGTGTACCTGTGCTTGCGGGTCTGCGTGTGTGACATCGAGGAGTATTCCTTTGTTGCGGTACCCCGGAGAAGATGCGTTCGTGAGGGCTCCTGGCCTGATGACGATGTCCATGCTCAGGTTTCTTTCCCCCGTGAACGGTGCCCCGCTTTCAACGTCGTGCTTGACGCGAAGGCTGTTGAGTGCTCTCGACAGTGCGTATTTTAACGGCTCGTGCATGTTGACCTGTGCTCCATCCCTTGGACAGGTCCTTGCGTGCACCGTTGTGATGATCTCGCCTTCCCTGCCTCTGTGGCACCTGGGACATCTTTCCGCCAAGAATTCTTCAACTCCCAAGGCGCGTCTCGTCGCGTAGACGAATTCGTTCGATGGAATCTCTCGAGCTCGGTCGGTGGGAGCCGCTCTCAGGAACGCGTGCCCCCCTTGCCCTTGCGAGCTTCTCGTTCGTGCGTATGCCATGTTCCTGGCCTCTTGACCTCCGTAGGGGTTGTCCCGCGTGGGTGGTACCGCCTCCTGGGGGAGGTGCTCCAGAGACTCCATGAACTTTTCAAGTTGTATCTTGTTAATCGCCTTGCCCAGTTTGTGCTGGGCTTTCCTCGGCGTAGTAGATTCCCCATCGTGTGCTGCCAGTTCTGCATCGGTGGGCTGACGCCTTCCGGTTTCTCCTGTCGGTTCTAAGGCCCAATCAACCCATGACGGGGGAAGAATCACCTTCAGAATCTCCACCGATACTCCATGCTCCTGGTTGAGTTCTTTGATAGCGTCCCCCATCCGCTCCACCAACACGGTTCCCGGTATCCGAACTCTCACCGACTCTCCCAATGGACCCCGTAACGCGGCTATAACCGCAGGAAGGGTGCCGACTAGGTTGCCCAGAGAAGCTGAGAACCTTCGCATAACGGCTGCTGGTAATCCTAGTCCTCCGGCTCCTGTCGACAGGCGCCCTTGGGCTTGTTGATAGGGCTTTAACTTGAAGCGGTCAGGCTGGCAGTCGTCTTGGAAGAACTCTTCTTCGACTTCGGTGTCTCTGAGCCCCATCGTTGCCTCTAGGACCCACATCACCATATTGTCCAGGCGTTCACAAGCCCCTCTCACTAGCTTATGATTGATGCCTCTCTCGATATAACCGGATCGCTGTGTCAGCGATTGTGATGTGACGAGGTGCGCCACCTGCTTGGCTGGCATGCGCACCAGCATGCGAGCAAGCTTGTCTGCACCCCCTTCAGTTATCACTTTCATTGCGATATCCTCGACGTAGGCATCCGTCCCAATGGGGACTCCCACACCTGTGATGCCCTCCTCCGCAAACGGT